GCAATTCTGCTCGAATTAATCGCCTTTGAAGATTGTTTAAAAATATTTAAAAGAATAAGAATTCCATAAAAGCATGTTTTCAAAAATATCGAAAACAATGCGTTATCTTTCGAGCGTCAAAAATTCTGACTAGTTACCGAATACAGTAATTAAACGGTAACTATTGCGGTAATTTTTTAGTTACCGAATAAGGTAAGCCAAAATGTAAACCAAAATTGTAAGAGACTATACTTATAATACCAAACAAATCTTACATACATATCTACTATAGATACAAAACCATATTCTGAGGAGACTTTCTTTGATAATGTGGTATCTTTTTAATTATTCTGATGTTCATACTGTTGTGTTCCTTGTACTCATTTCTGTTATAAATGCCTAAAATCCACAGTCTCGTCGTAAGTATAAAAATCTATAACTATACGTTATAGTTAGACTGTGGATCTTCATTGCAAAATAAAAATTGTCTGCATCCATTATAAGAAACACAAGACACATAGGAGTTTCTTTCTGTCTTTAATTATTTTAGTAGGTCAAAAGTAGTGTATCGATACCCTCCAGTTCTTTTTCTCTGCCTACTGTTTAAAATTACAGCTATCCATTTTTGTCATAGATGCATAAAGTCGCTAGTCTAGAAATGTGTAACTATAAGCTACAGTTAGACTACGAATCTCCATGCAAAATAAAAATTGTCTAGGTCCATTCTTTCTATCCTTAATTATTTTAGTAAGTCAAAAGTAATGTATCGATACCCTCCAGTTCTTTTCCTTTGTCTACTGTTTAAAATTACAGCTGCACATTTTCGTCATAGATACATAAAGTCCTCAGTCTAGAAATGTGTAACTATAAGCTACAGTTAGACTGCGAATCTCCATGCAAAATAAAAATTGTCTAGGTCCATTCTTTCTATCCTTAATTATTTTAGTAGGTCAAAAGTAATGTACCGGTACTCTCCGATTCTTTTACTCTATCTACTGTTTAAAATTCCATGTAGTCATTTTTGTCATAAATGCACAAAATCCACAGTTTATTTATAGCATTGTCGAGAAGTGTGCATTGGTAAATATTTTGTAGGTAAAACAGTATTTGCGAATCCGTTAAGGAAGCGCAGATCATTCTTTATTTGAACCGCTACTTTACGCGTCATTGATAACGAGTGACGTCTAATTAGCCAGTTTTTCGTTGACCGGCCAATCGTAGCCACCGCCCGGAAGAGTTCTCGACCAATGAGAGCGCTCGACCCGGCACTGCACTGGAAGTTCCATAGTTCGGTTTAGTCGCCGCTCATTCTCCAAGTTGGGAGGGTGTTCTGCGTCTGTTTTCCTGTCATGTAAAGGGACTTGTTCTGTGCTTTTCACAAGTCTAGCGAGAACGTGCGCTTTCCTCTGGAATGTTGTTTATGAAGAGGGGACAAAACGCGTCTGTGGGCATCGTGGAAATATCGTGAAATAACAGTTGAAAAGTGAATCGATGTTTTACTAGTGCATTGTTATTCTACATGTGTTCGTTCATGGCATATACTGGTAATCCATACGTAATATGTTCTTTGTTCTGTTAAATGTTTAACGCAACGAGAAATATAATAAACCGACTCCAATAATGCAAACGTGTCGGCGTAGATTTTCGTAAATGAATCGTTAGTATGGAACTTGAAGAGATATGATCGGTCATTCCACGAGAACCACGAAACGTGTAGTAGTGTTATTATTTACATTATATCCAACTATAAATGTTATCGTTCAAGGGAGTGCCTGATTGAATTTGTGCTTTAATGGAAACAGCTGCTATAAAATTATTTTGCAACATTGTAATAGCTTCCTCTTATCAAAATTAATACTAATGCGGAATATCATTCAATTAAGACATGTATACGTGATTCGCGTAAGAAAGCATTGACATTTAGGTTAGACTCGGACTTTCTAATAGCAACGCTTTTTGCCGTTCGTTTGAATTAACTTCTACGTTTTCTCCGTCATTTAGGTACTCTTATTACATAAAAATGTACCTATAATAGAATTTAATAAAGACGTGAGTTAGAACTCGTAAAAAAAGATGAATTTTGAACGCACGCGCTGTACAGGTTATGTTAGGTTCGATGTGCAAGGGATCGTTGCACAACTTCTTTGCACTCGTTGTTCGTTTCTAATTCAATTCTTTTATGTTTCTATCTTGCATTTTAAAATATGTCGCTGTTTGTATTCTTATGCGATTCGTAATTAATGTTTTCTTTGATCATTTTAGAAATTTTCTCGCACTCTAAGATTCTCTGTAGCAACATCATCGTTATTACATAAGCGTAGAAGATCCTTTTATCTCAATGAATTCGTCTTTGATAACAGTACGACAAAATTTATCACTTCTAATTTTAGTAGCATCAGGATATGAATATTTCTTCGAATAAATATCAAGAAAGGAAACATAAATTTTCCATTTTTAACGTAGCAGAATATATAATAAATTTTTCGTGATTCAGAGATGACAACGTTACTCTTACTTTTCAAATATACAAACAGAGGGAAGCAAAACACTGTGATTCGTTGCGTTTGAATATTCGATAAAATGACGGTCGTTCGCAAGGCTGTATCACATTGGTTTCATTTTTCCGAGGCGTTTACAATGGTAATCCGAACTTTCAGCTTTTCAACCGTAAATGAAATCAAAACCAAGGACTTTTCATCGAGCATATTAAGCGAGTCGTTTAATAATTGATAGGATTGGTAATTGGACTGTTTATTTAGATGCTTCGCGATTATGCAGGCCGTCTTCGTGATACGGTTATTCATTAACCGACTATATTCATGCGCTCTGATTATTTGATGCATTTAAACACGTGTTACGTTTGATGAACAAGCCGGCGCAAAAATTCAGATGCCTAATCGAGATTTAATACTAGACTGCGGATCTTGATGCAAAATATTAATTGTCTGCATCAATTGCAAGGGATAGATGCTAGATACACGTTTAATTCTTTCTTTAAACTCGTGTCATTTTCTTTACAGTTAAAATGATTAGTACTTTTTGAGTGTGAACAATCTCTTAGAGGGAAAAGAAAATTTATTTTTATTGCGAGTCTGCATTTACTTCAGAGACCAGAATTTTCTTCCGATTTAAAAGAAAAGAACAACATTGGTACTTAACACGTTATTACTGGAAATCTCCATCACGCGGCAGACTTGTCGAAATACGGCGAGATGTTAATCATTTTCACAACCTGAAAACGGGGATTCAAAATAATTGTTATTTGATAAATTTTTGCGAAAAATATCGGTAACAAAATCATGTTTATTATTTAAGTTCGAGCTGTTTATCACGAAATATAAAATATTATCATTACAATATTATCATTACAAATAACAATTACAGTTAACCGAAAATTTTATTCGATGCCAATAATTATTATTAAATGACGGAAATTCTATATTGATCCATTGTACAATAATTTTCGAACAAGGAAATTTATTCCATTTATTCATGACAATTATTGGTGAGGGAGATTCTGCTTTGGTCACTCATGAATAGTTATGAGTGAGGGAAACTGTATCTCGGTCATTAATGCAACTATATCAACGTGTACAATTTATTTAAATTGTTCATAAATATTATCAATAAAAGATATTTTATATAAGGACACTATCATATTGTTACGCATTCACACAATTTAAAACGAATACATTCTTTCTTCCGTGATACTGAACTTTATTAATTCAAAATAAATTCCTTAAATCGGCAATGAATTTACAAAAACAGAAAATTAAAGATGTGTCTCGTACAACGCATGATCGCACGTAATACATATGTACATACAACATTTTTTACTTGTTTTGATGTGTAGATTTACTCCCCCAAGCATTAACGCGCATTTATAAAGCACTCTGTATAATACGTGATCGGAATACAATTTTTCTCATCTGTTATAAGCAACTGAAATAAATTTTCTTATGGATATAATTATTATAAGCAACCAAAATAAATTTCCTCATCAGCAACAAAAATAAATTTTCGTATAGATAACAATTATAAGCAACCGGAATGTCTCTCAACGATAACTATTGTAATGAAAACAATTTTTTACCATCAATAATAATTATTCATAATTAAAAACATTTGGATCAAAATAACAATTGCTACGACTTCGTGCATGTTGATGATAACAATTATGGTACCCGATGGAAAATAGTACATCAATACTCTTCAGTTATTTCGGTTATTTCAATTTGTTCGCTCTTCTAAACCGCATCTATTCGTTTCTGTCACAAGTGCATAAAATCCGCAGTCTACTTATTGCATTCTTCGCGCGTACGAAAGTATTGGTTCAAATTGCTTTCGAAAATGTTTCGAAACTCGCCGGGTTACCGCAGTGCATCTACACGGCGTTTCATAACTATACAACCATCCCGCACTTCCTGCGTCCCACCGAATTGTCTTCCACGATTCAGAATACATAATTGAATAGCAACATTGTTACGTGAAAGTAAACGCACGCACATGGTTTCTTAGAGTCATTATCAGTTTCGTCTATTATTTACCCTATGGTGTGCGAAGCAGAGTTGGAATAAATTTTTTTCGGATGACGAATAGGAGATAAGGTTAATGAATCAAATTTTATCCGACATTATCAAATAAATATTCAACCGAATAAAAGCTTATCTAGACAACAATTTTTCCGATTAAGATTTTATTCGAATAAGAAGTTATTCGTTAATGGAATAAGAATTTATTTGTACGGAAACTAATTCGGAAAATAATCGATTTAAATAAAAATTATAGAATATAATGTTTTTCCATAGTTTATTAATAATTAATTTCCTTCATGTTAATTTTTCCACTTATCTTTTTTCCATCGGAAAGAAATTACGTAAAAAAGGAATAGTCAACAATTAGTAGCAATATTATTTATTCGAATAATTTATTGAAATAAAAAGTAACCAATTATTCGAATAATTATTATTGTTATAAATATATTAATTGTAATGCTTCAAGTATATTAATCATTTACTTAACGCTACTAATTAACTCGTTAATACAAAATAATACATAACGGTAGAAGAGTTCCGAGAACCATAAGCGTTAGTATAAAATTCTAATGTTGAATACTTACGATGCTTTCATGACTGTAATTTCCGGGGAAATCGTCAGATTCAATGGTGATGTTCATTGCTTGTGTGTGGTTGGTCGATAAATTCATCAAAATGAAAGTCATTCTAAAGCAATTTACTAATGAGCAAACGATTGTAAATATACTGCGAAGTGATCACTCATGCGGAAAATTGCTAAGATAATGGGACAAAGCCTTGAGTTAATCCTCTGAATACAGTGACGAGATAAGAAATAGAAATAATGTCGAAGTTATTGTTGATCAATAGGACCCGTATAAGAATTTGCAATCATCTATTTGCATCGAAGCATAAAATTTAATGACTAAATAATATTTTATAGAAATAATATCATCGCATTGTTCTCAGAAAAATTTATTTTTGTAAGGGCGTCTTCTACAAGCACAAGATTTTAAAGCTACCAGAAAAATGTTGCAAAGGTATAGAACAATACACCATTAAATAATATTTAGTGTAAACATTAAAACATCGTCTTTCATTTTCTCGTAGAAGAATGGAATTAATTTCCGAACAATTCAATATTTTCGTTACATTTTCCTTTAATTATCATCACTATTGTATCATTTGTAAATTTTTTAAATGCAAGGAAATGTATAAATTAACAAGCTGTACTAGTATTTTTAGTCGACTTAAAACTCGAATGATCTACATTAGAATTCGGATCGTCGTAACTGGAGTTTTCCCGACAATCAGAATTTAAGACAATTGGATGTTTTCCTGAAGGTACACGCTATGCGGTAACGCGGTTAAATGTGAGAAACAATTTTTCACGTGTTCTGTGATATTCGTCGTTCAGACCCTTTGAAAAATGATGTAACAATCGTCAGACGGTGAATTAAGTCGACCCCGTTATAAAAAGACCGTGTAATTTTTTAAACGTGCTCCTTCTCGCGTGGTTCAACGCTTTCCCATAAAAGCGATCCGCGAATTAAAAGGCGCCCGGGAGAAAATGCGAATCATAAAAGACTTATTGTTTTCTAGACGCTGCCGCGCTGTTAGCGCTCTTTCACACCGGCATATATATATTCCAAATCTAATTACGGCGTGTGATTAATCGGTAACCGTGTTCACTCGATTTTCACTTGCGCCTTATGTCCACGAACGTGTTCAATAATAGAAAATGCTGAGAAAGTATTTTAATTAGGTAGAAAATTGCACGGGCATTTGCATGTTTCTGCGGAAGTACACGTGTCCTTAATTAAAGTAATAGTCCTTACTGAATTCGATCAAAATTGTGCAATAATAGTTCTCCACCTTGTATCGCAAAAAATTTTATTTGCACAGGGGTCCAGTTACTCTATATGGTCAGGTTTACGATGATATTAAATTTAAAGATTTTCACTAATATTTCATTATTTGTCCGTATAATAATTAATGTTTCGTTTATATCAGTTTAGTTTCTTCGAGTC